TCGATGAATTGTTCTCCAACCAGGAGTAAACCCAGGAATGTGTGTGTAGCAGGGAATCTAGGCAGAATCATCTTTTCAGGAATCTGTATGTACTTTGGCAGCTGTAACTTTTCACTGGGAAAATAAATCAAGAATTAAAATATTCTTTTCCAATGCATCTTCTCTGTAAGACAGATTAGTTGGCCTTAATTATAAACTGAATTACAGCTGCAGGCAATCTTGATATTTCTTTGGGAGCTCAGCTCATGAGAGATGTGGTACCATGCTGGTTTTTTTGGTCTGAAAGTTTGCGATTGTTTTGAACAGTCAATAACTTAAGTGAAAAAGTATGGTCTTTGTCAGGCCATTGAATAAAAAAATGTGCTGCAATGCTATTTAACTGTTTATTTAACTGATGATCAGTTTTGGTGAGTGAAGTGAAAGGAAAGTGCTAACTTTATGCAGATGAAGAAGAAGAAAAAAATGAAAGGGAAAGTAAGTATCAGTGAAAGATGTTTCTGGCTGCCTTTCAATTCCAAATTGGGCTAATTCTACCTTCTGAAAAGAAGATAATTTCCACGTTTCTGTAATTGGGATCACACATAATTGAAGTTATTTTCTCTTAGAGAGAAGAAGCTTCTTCTACAACATTTGCAAATGGACAAGAAAAATGACCACATACAATGCACTCTGAATGATGGTGCATTCATCACAGCGTCATTTTCAGATGATGCTTCAGGTTTTTACCCATTCGGGTAAAAATTTATATGTGGATGGTGAAGGTTCATGTTGACGAATGCTCTACACTAGCTGCAGAGCTCCCTTTTTCTGGGTAGCCATTACATCAGAGATAGCTGATTACCAGAGAGGTCTGGAGCAGAAAACACACACCAGAGAAGCACTGAAACAAGTATCAGCTTATGCAGTGATTCCATGCGACTGCTTCTTTTGGCCTGGCTTTTTAGGAACTGAACTTTAATGAGGAAGATGAGCCAGATGTTGTCGCAGTGCTTTGAGAGTGGCACAAGCGATGAACTCACTTCCTTTGGTTTGTAGCATGAAGATATTTTCTGCCACGGGGTTTAACCCTGGGAATGCTGGCATTTGCCTAAGCATCTCATTCACTGAGTGTGCGGGACAGTGTTTATTCATGAATGCATTTGCGTCTGCACATGTGACTGCAATCATCATGCTCTTTCCTGGGGTTCCTCGGTGTTGAATCACAGTAGCAGAGGTTGGACTCAGGTGCTCCTGCTCCAAAAGCATGGTCCCTCCTGCTGGCTCTTTGCTGACCAAGGCTCTTCTCCATCTGCATGGGTTGGTTTATCATCCCTGATGTTGCTGTGATGATCCAGGCAGAGTGGTGCTCAGGGAATTTGGGAGGCCACGTCAAAATTCAGCACAGACCTCAGCTTTGAGCTCTGTCTGGCTAAGTATATATTTGTGTGCATTGAGGCATCATGGAGAAAACAGAATGCATGAAGGTAAGTCTGGCAGATTAGACAGCAGATTGGATTTCTAGACAGCGTTGATCATTGTACAGATCAGGAGAAAACAGAGGAAGTTTAATAAATAACAACACCACAACTGTGTTTTGTAAAGAAAGCCAGAGTTATATTTTTACCCTGACCTAACAAAGGAGGAGGAAGGAAACTGTTTCGCTGAAACAAGCATTCTAGATTGGACTAAGGATACACTTTTCTCTCTATGTTTGTGTACGTGCGTGTCCCAGCAAACTCAACAGTATGTTCATATGCATGAAATACATTTTCCTGGAGGCACATAGTCAGCACGTGGCATGTGAGGAGGAAAAAGATGTGCCTAGCATTGCTTAAATGTTGGTCAAAAAGGCATGACATTTTAGTCAAAATAAGTTAAAGTGTCTCATAACGTTGTGGTTCATATTTGTTATTTTTGCTGACGTTGGGTACTGGATAAGAAATCTGCCTGGTTTAGAAAAGTGCAATGTAGATAAAATACGAGAGCAGCCTATTTATTGTGTGTACGAGGCAATGTGGCCTCCTCCAAAACCGGAGAAAGTCAGACAGAACTGAAAATAGCACAACCCAGGCCCTTACTGAGGGGAGCACGAGTGGACCCTGTGATCAGGAGGTGTGGAAAGCCAGCGTGGAAGAGAGAGAGGGGCTTCCCCCACCTGCCCAAGGTTTCCTGCCCAAGCCTGGCTGGTGGTGGCCTGCAGAAGCAGTGGCTTTGGGTCGGAGAGTGGCTGGTGTGGGTTGCAGTGCTGAGTCTGGCCCTGATGGGCTCTGTGCGAGGCTGAAGACATGGGTCTCGCAGCAGCCTGGATGCAGGTTTTGTCGTTGCCTTAGAGCCCATGGGTGATGGTGGGCAAATCGCTTCAGCTCCATGTATTTTGCTTCCCTTTTCTGTGAACAGAAAGCAGCTCATGCCTTCTGTTTTGGTCCATTTATATTGTAAAGCCCAAGGGTAAAATCAGTGTTTCAGATTATGTGTGGACAGAGCCCAGCAGAAGAGGCTGGAGTATGGCACTTTATGCATTTGTGCCACACTGGTGACTGCTAATGGGAGAAATATAGGGATGGGGGCCATCATCAGCTTCGGGCTGTACTGTCTTTTCCATGCGAAGTCTAGGGAAGGAGTCTCAGTCAGTGGGTGGCAGTGGTCATTCCTTTCTGCATGGAAACTGAAATTGGTACAATAGATGGAATATTTTAAGAGGCTCAGTTGCCAGGTTTCTCAAGCTAATAAATCCTTGGCTGCACTTGCTGTGTTAAAATATATGTTCAGACGAGATTCATGATCAGCTCTTAGGAACAAGAGAGCAAAGTGAAAAAATAGGTTGTTCCAAGATTAAATGCTTTACATTTGACACCTTTAATTGGCTTATTAATAAACCTTTTTTTTTTTAGGGTTATGCTATTTATTATTTCTAATGAAATAGTTGTCAACTAGCCTTCTAAAAACAGCCACGAAGCACCAGCCAAGGGTGCCTGGGTGTGCTGGGTCAAGTACCTGGCTCTGAAACTCTTAATCGTAGGAGTGGCCTTATCCCCACCAAAATGATATATCCCACAGAGGTGGCACTTACATGACTTAGAGAGCAAGTGTAAGCCCTGTGCACCGCACAGGCCTGTCTCCCTGTATGAAAAAAGAAGTTGTGGTAACCCAAGCACATCAGTGTGGTTGCATTTGTATGATAGAGTTTACTGAGCTGTGTGTGGACATTCAGAATTTCCAGATGTTAAACAGCTTCCTCAGAACAACTGCTAGACATCTAGGAATCCTGGACAAATGCAGAAAATTGTTGAATAATGCTCAGAAAAAAATCCCTGAGCAGAAAAAGAAAACATCTCTGGGAAAACCTGAATGTGTGGTAGTTCCAATCTATATTCTCAGTCAGGGTGGCTGAGTGTATGGCAAGTAGGCCTTGCACAGCCCTCCAGGGAAATTCATCCAGCCTGGGGCTTACCCCAGGTGCCCTGGCTTCCGTGCCCCCACCTCCCTGGTATGCTGCTGCTGGAAAGCAGCGGGCAGGTGGGCGGCAGCGGGTGCGACTGCTGCGGTGTGTGTGCATGGCAAACCCAGCATTTCCAGGGATCCCGGTCACACTGCTGTGCGCGTGGGTGCAGCCCCTGGGAGACGGGTCAGGTCAGCACGCAATAAGGGTGACAGCTGAGCACGGACCCTGGAAAAATAAATACAACAAGGTCAGGAACATGCAAGTGTTTGGTTTCTGGGAGTGGATGATTGAAGTGTTATTGCTGAGCGCCATTCTGAGACCTTCTCTACATTGATTGATGTCTCATTTGAAATCTCCTACTTGCCTGAAAGAAAAAAGCATGAAGGCATTTAGTTAATTCTCCTGCAGTGCTTTAAAGCTGCTGTTCTCTGTTGAACATGACTGGCTCAATAAAGACTCGTCCTGTCAGATGTAGTCTCTCTAAACCAAATAGAGGTGGCCAGTGTGTTGTTTCTCCAGTGATTTTACTTTTTTTGTCCCGTTTCAGTAGGTATGGAGCATGGAAAAATACTTCCTTGTATACTAAGACTCATAAGTTTCATATCTAAGATCCAATCCTTGATGAAGGCAGCAATTAATCAATGAAATCATTTGGTTTTCTGAAATGCTGCATTTCATAAATAAGTTAGTTTTCACATACAAGTCTTTCAAGAAAGCAGTGCACGCAAGGAAAGCTGATGTCAGCATTTTTTAATCCTGAAATGACCGAGTTTCTCATTGTGGACACCAAACTTAGCTTCTTCTAAGAAACTTCCAGGCATGAGACTATTTCTGTGCTTCTCAAAATATGCCTGTACTTCTGCTGTTTTCCAGGGAGAAGACACACTGAGACAGATGGCAAATACTATATGCCAGCTGTTAGCATATGAAGGCCAAGAGGTCTCCATTTCTAAGCACATATTAAAACATTTGTATCCCTAGTACTAAAAATCTGTAGACCAGCTCCTGCTCTCACTAATGTTAATAGCAGGATTTGTGTCAAAACAAACAAGAAGAGAACATAACTAGCAGCTCGGGATTATCTGTCTTTGTCCATGTACGCCACCACTGTAGGAATGATTGTTCTAGCATCATTTATATTGCGTTGGGAAGTGATGGAAGCTTTTGCCAGACCTAAACTGAAATGCTTCCAAGGCCTTGTTCAGTGTTGGAAAATGTTCGTATCAAGTTATCCTTGGAATAATTTTCTCCTTTATTTATTATTATGTGCTACCCAGTAGACACCTAATTATGAGGCACAGAACACTTCTTATTCTAGGAGGATATATAGCACTTCACTGGATGTTTTTAGGAGTCCATTTTCATTACGTTAAATGAGATGTTTACTTGCATGAATCCCTTAGGTTTAAAAAAAAAAACAACAAAAATAAGACAAAGAATGAATTTCAACACAAAACAGTCAATAGAGCCTCTTACTGTGGGCGAATGCTTTTATACCACATCACAGACTGTTTGTCTTTTTTGTTTTTCAGAGTGGGTATCCAAGTTCTGGACCCGCATCAAGCACTCCTGCCTTCAGGCCTGAGGATGAGCTTGAACATCTGACCAAGAAAATGCTGTATGACATGGAGAATCCTCCCTCTGATGACTACTTTGGTGAGCAGTGTCGCGTCACATTGAATCAATCTGTCTGTAGCCCCTTTCTGTATTTACCAGGTTCGGTAACGGGGAGGCCTGACAATAACGCTGTTAATGTAGTGGCATTTGTGTTGATGGATTTGCTTTCCATGCTTGGGCTGGAAGTGTAATCAGCCATAGGAATTCCTCTGTAATTTCAGCATAAATCTCATGCTCACTTGCTGTATGTTTACAGTCTTCCTGGTTATAAAGTTGAGTCTGGTTCATTTTCACGCCATCTGTCCCCAGCTTCTAGGCTAGCAGACTGAGTTCAGGTGTGGTGTGCTGTCTTGCCTCTCTGCCCCATCTTTTCTCATTGCAGCTGCACAAAAACTGGTGCTGTAAATATGTTATGCTCCCAAGGCATGGATTTTCATTTTCTGTATGCTGGCATAGATTAAAAGGAAATCCATTTTGAGTCAATCAATCAGGTTCGTTTTGTGTGGGGACTCAGAACTGGGTCCAACAAGTATGAGAAGGACAAATCTGAGCTGATTGGCTCATTATAATCATGTCAGCTTCCTTGCCTGGAAACAGATAAGCAGCTTCCTTCTTAAGTGACATATAATTGAATTATCTCAGACATCTATAGGTGTAAAATGCATGTATCACCTTTATATGAAACACAGGTGATATGATGTCTGAACTCAGCATTAAAATCAAGAGCCTTGGGCACATCTGATGCATCTGGTTAGTATGCTTAGAGTCTTACAGGCCTGGGTGGCAGTGTTGTTAGAAATCAAATTGCTGTAGTTTGTAAAGTTAAAGACTGGGGCAGGCCATTCATTTTGTCTTCTTTATCTTTCTTTATTTCGTTATTTCTTAAGAATTTCATTTAGATTGCCGCCAGGTCTATTGGCTATAGATTTTGGTTGGACCAAAACATTTCTGGCTTAAAGAAACTTTTGTGGTTTAGTTTAATCAGAAAGCAGGTGGGACCAAGGTTTCACTAATAAACGAGGATCTTGCAGTGACAAGGATCTGATTACATGAGAAGGTCAAGATGTTCTCATCAGACAGACATTGCCCTTGTAGATGGCGTTGATATCAGTCCCCATTCTCTGTCAGTACCTTCTACCTTTTATGGCCTCCACCCTCACAGCTGAAATGTCTTCTCTATAAACATTGATATCATCAGAGTTGATGACTAGCACAGATCTAAGGTGTGAGCGAGAATGACTAACTGAAGAGAGAATATCCAGAAAGCATTTTCTGTGATGCTGCGTTTGACTTCATCTCTGCCCATATCCGTTTGTGTTCACTCTCTGATGTTTGAACAGTACAGCAACAACCAAACAAACATAACACGTGTTTAGCCATTAGCGTGGGCGGGCAAGAGGGAGAAACCTTTTTCCCGCTCCTTTCAAACAAATGGCTGAAGCCCTGAACATGAGATTCTGTTACAGTAATTTACTTAATGCAGAGCTGTGAGTGGCAGGATCTGGCTGAGGGACCAAAGCCCACCCAGTTCTCCTCATAGCCCTAGAAGGCGGGCAGGTGAACAAAGAACTTGGAGAGTCACATAGTCAGAAAGGACCTTGCCATTACACTGCCTAATGTCCTACTCTCGGTTTCTCCCAGAAAGATGACTGAATCATGACTTCAAAATAAAAGAAATCTAATCTTTTCTTAAAAGACTTCAAGCAATGGTGAGTCAACCACCTACCCTGATAAGCTGTTCTAGTGATTAATTTTCCTCACAGCTCAGAAATTGCTTCCTGAAGTGGAGCTTTAGTTTTGTTTAGCCCTTGTATTCATAAAGCTGAAATGCTTGGGTTTTGCAGACTAATACTGTATTGCTAAGATGGCTCTGGTCTGTTTGAGAGTGTGGCACATCCGAGTTTTTTCATACAAAAGGATGCATAGCTCAGAGGGTTGGAACATAAAGTCTCTCAACATTAGGTCATCAGTTTGGCTGTCAGATGGGAGGTCAGACCAGTGCCATGCCAATAGCTCTTAATTCAGCAGGAGATAAGAAAATGGAAAGGAGGCTCCAGAGCTGTCAGAAATTTTGCCAGTGTTGTTTATGTAAGCAGAGCATGATCAAAGAAGGAATGACCATGCATGATGCAAGCTGGAAGATGAAAACCAAACAACAACCCTAGTCCTAGCTCGGGCAGGTGATGTTTAATTACAAGCTGCATCTGATTGATCTTCTAATTGCACTGAGTCTACGCCACCAAAGGTCATCTCTGAAGCAGTGTCCAGCCTTGGCATTCTTGATGTGCAGAAGAACCATGTGCTGGACTGAACTCCTCCTCAGCTCTCTAAGCATGTTGTGCCGCATGCGGCCATTTGGGAGACATGGCCACAACTGATTAGATACCTACCAAGAAAAACATAAAACAAAACCAGCAGTTCTGGAGAACAACCACTTTGTGTGGTCGGATAAAATCAAAGAGGTGGGTTGCCCTCATCCTCCTAGGTTTGTTCCAGCCCAAGCTACTCTCAGGGGAAGATGATCACTGGAGTCACAGTGGATGAGGGGTTTTGATATGGCAGTGCAGGCCGAGAGTTTTGTACTAATTCTGGCTATGTCAGAGCTAAATACTCATCTACATGAGCTGTCAGCCAGTGCCTTTCAGTAACTTCATGCTCATGTGGAAAGAACAAATTAAGTGTGGGAGGAAAAAAAGAGTCTTTCAACTTTGGTTAAGTGTCTCAACCAATATCTCTGCCTTTGTTCTTTATTTATTTAGCATGGTAGCGTGGATTGTACAAGATTCATATGGCACATTGATGAAATAATCAGAAAAAGGACAAATGGGCAGAGACACTGACTCTGATTTGCATTAAATATCTTCTGCCTGAGGTCTAAATGCCATGATAATTGTAGCATACCAGATAGCTGTCAGCTAATCACTTTTATTAGTTTGAATTTAGAAAACTGGATTTCAACGTATTAGAAGTTGGTTAAGAGCAGATAGGTTTTGAATTGAGGAATCTAATTAACCTTGCTAGAAAGCTGCAAGGCGTTATATTAAGTCATGAAAATAATTTGTTGGAATAATTACATTTGAACTGTCAGGCTGAAGAAAGGTCATTTTACTTGGCCCATCAGCACTCTGGGATCTTTTCTGTAAGCATCTTCCTTCTGCAATTTTAGTTGCCGTATCTCTGGTTCTCAATCAAGCCATCTTGATTCTGCAGTCAGCATGGGCAGAGTGGAGGTTCCTGGGGAGGGAAGAAGAAAAGGAGCCGCTAAAGTTGTCTCTTTGCCCTGGAAATGCCAGGTGGTACTGCTGGTAGACCAAGTGAGCTGAGTTCAGGAGCAGAACAGCCAGTGCTTCCATCAGGTCTGTGTTCACTACCCCTCTGCAGCTTCCCGGGGTGGAAATTACTGGAGGTGGTTTCAGAGTTAGGGGAACTGTTCCAGCCAACAACTTGCTCGTGCAAGCACACACCACTGGCAGCACAACATGGTTCACACTGCATTCCTGGGGAGCCTGGGCGCATGGTGAGAGCCAGAAGAAGCATGCTGGAGACACACTTCGGAGCAGCAAGATCACAGTTTGCAGCCATTTGTTGCCTAGACTTACACAGCAGCACGATGCAGTCACTGGGAAATCCTCTAGCTGCCATTGGCAAGGCAGTGCTTAAGCATGGAAACATCATCAGTAAGCATAATAATTAAAAAAATCACTGTGAATTTTTAGGAGTTAAACATGCATGCTGGGTATTCTGCCTGACCTAGTTTTGTTGAAAGGGCACACTACCATACTTAAGTCTAAGCACTGCAATCTTTAGTGCGTGTCCTGTCCTACTCTCCCCTGTGTTACGGAGTGACTTATGGAGTGACTTCTCCTGGGAAGACCTTGGCAGATAAGCAAATTGAAGTCTCTCAAGTCTAAGCTACTCTTCCTTCTTTACTGCTGATTCAGTTGCTGATCTGTGGTAGTTGGCTGTCTTTAATCAAATCCCTTTTTATTAGAAAGGATTCCCAAGTGTGTTATGCGCTGTGCAGTAGGGATGGTTTCTCTCTGTCACAGCCCTCCGCGTTGATAAATGTGATATTGTAGATAGACATGTTGGATTTGCTGAAAAAAAAGAATACTTTGTGGAGTGGAAATTGAGTAAGGCTGGGGGAGAAGAAGTGGATATTTACAGGAGGTTAGGATGAAACTATCAAAATTGTTTGTTGGTCACCATGGGAAATTAAAGTCCTTGATTTTGCATTCAAAAAAAACCAAAATGCACACACACAAAGATCACAACTGTTCTGGACCACTGTTTCAAGTCTCATAGAAAGAAATTACTTCTGGCATCTTATCAGTCTGTATCACCATGCAGACAGTGCTGATTAAGACTGGAAAAATGCCATCAGGGCCCCTCATCTGCTGGTGCCTTCTGGACTATGTCCCAGCTGAGTCACTCCCCACAGCAGAGGAGTTTCCCTGTCTGGTGAGACGAAACTTTTGCTGGTATCTTACCGTAAGCACTGAGCTACCAAGGGAATCACCAGTTTTATGTATTTGATAAGGTAGCAGTCTTCTTTTGTAGTTCCAGTGTGCTGTAGGCATGCACATGGGGAGAATAGGGGTACTAAGATGATCCTGTTGAAAATACTCTGTTTGTACAATAAAGGGACCTTGATTTGTCTCAGAGCTGATAATTCAGGATATGTAGTTTTCTTACGTGCATTTGCCACATGCCCTGACTTTGACAATGGGAGAAGTGGTGCAGAGTTAGGCTGAGGAGCAAGGCCAACAAGCAGAATGCTTACCTTCCTTTTCTGCTTCTCATCCTCACCTCGTGAGACCTGTGGCAGATTATTTTACCTTTTGTAAACTGCCTTTTTTCCCCTTTCACCCTGTTTGCAGGGCACTTGATCTGCATAGTCCTTCAGACAGGAGATGACTAACAGCAACAGTTGTATGAATGACCCCCACGGAGAAGCCTTCATCTCCAATGGTTCTTTGAGATACTGTGTCACAATTAAGGCTAAAGGAAGACAAGTGGCACCAGTATGGAATCTGTCA